AAAGCCTGGCTCTTATCCAGACTGCATGGAAAGATTGGAGTTTTTTTTTCTCCAGATTTTAATAAACTCTGGAAACAGATCCAAGTTGAAAAAGCCAAAAGTGTATTTTTTTTTCTAATTTTGCCAAGTCATAAATTGTACTGATATACGAGCAAAGATCTAGAGAATCTGCATTACAATGACACACATGTTGTAAAAGAAGATGATACAGGCATAGTTCTACCCCTCAAAGTTTATTCATTAAAGCCATATCACCTTTTCCAAACTGTGTTTTCAGGCATCCTCTATCATTAATCGCTGTCAATTTCTCTGCAGGTGCAAACCAATTACTTTCCTTGGAGCCTCACTGTTAGAAATATATTGGAAAACAACATATTTGATGGAGATCTAGGGAATTTGTATCAGTGCAACAAGAAAGATTCTGCCTTCTGCTGCACATTTACGAGACGCTGCTGGAGAAATCCATCGCCTAAAGCCTAAATTGGACTGCAAATATCAAATTAACTGAAAAAACCTTACTCTCAACTCAAAGAATATTGATGTTTGTTCCAGCCCCCTACTGGTGCGATGAGGATACCTCCTCATCGTATATTGTTGCACAGGGTGCATGACATTTTGTCTCTTCACACACATGTGACCTGCAGAGAAATTTTGACCTTACAAAGTTGCTGTTTATAGCTTTAGGAGTGTATAATAACATGTATTCTCATGTATGTGAAGGTTCACGGTAAGGGATGGGTTGGTGTTAGTTTCGTAGTTGCCAGGTTAGGTCAAGTTTTCTGTTGGGAGTGAGGTTTGGGAGTGAGCCTGGCTTTATTTCCCCTCTGCTTCCCTCACACTTTGCCGATCAGCAGAGTATGCACAACTCTCAACATCCTGAAAGACCGGACAGAATAAATCCAGTTCATAGATCCCACTCTTCATTCAAAGAGAAGCTAAACCACATTGAGGAAATGCATCCCCCCAAAACCCTTTCCTTCTGTTTACCAGAGCAGATAGCGTCCACCCCACAAACCTGCAAACCAACCAGGTTAACAAATCGCCTAGGGTTGCCTTTAGGCAAAAATGGAGATGACGAAGCAGACTAAGACCAAAAGAGCAGAAATATATCCTTTGGTAACACACAAATGGTCGCTACACCGGACCCACTGCAGAAACCCTAAATATAATTATATAATTTCTTCTAGTGTTTTTTTTTGGGCAGTTAAGTATTATAAATTTTAAATGGAAAAAGATCATTTATGTTTAAAACAAGCAAACTACATTCATTGTCTTATTTTAGGTTTTATTATTTTAAAGGCAAAAATACATATTCCATTGACAGATCAGTGGATTAATAATTTTTTTAATCAGTTTGTGCAGGGCCCAGCCACCGCATTCCACTAAACATGTGTGAGTTAGATGCAGACCGCAACACTAGAAGTCTGGAACCTAAATTCTGAGCACCCAGGGCAATGCCTTTATCATGCCTTTGCTGCCACAGCAATGATCCCCTAAGAATTGAATAATTAAATTATATTACTAATACAATTTATTATAAAACATTTTATAAAGTAATTAGAGGGAAACAAATATGTAACTAAAATGATTTAGAAAGCACATTTAGCGGTGACTCTAAAAAAAAAAATAGATTTTTAACTTTGATTAAAAGCAACTCAGGTTTTCGGTACCTTCACAGTTTTACCTACAGTACAGATTAGTAGAGCACTAAAACTAAAAGGAGCTTCTTTATTTGATGGTTTGGTTCTGGGTGTGTGGAGTCGACTTGAGCCATAAGACCTGAAACATTTTTATGAATTTTTATGAATACAAATTTATTCGAAGCATGACCTGTATTTTAATATCCTTTGGAACAGAAATATACTATCAAAAAATATTTGCTCCTTTGACCTGCCAGTGCTGAGTAGTTGAGAACACAGTGACATGTGATGTTGTGCCTATCTTCTTCTGCTGTCATCATCACTGTTCATAGCAGCAAGAATTAAATGGACTCCACAGGCAAGCCAGCGTGGTGCAGAGTGGTACCGAATCAAACATTCTTTCAAGAGTGGGAACATTATTCTTCAGGTGTTAAATCTGAGGAATGGAATCATTTCTTGGTTCAGGCTTTTTTTTCCTGACATCAGGAGCTCTGAGACATTACCTTGACAGTTTGTTTGTAAATCCTGTCGGCAAACTAAATAAGAGATTACCTTGGGAGGACTGAAGTAGTCTTTGTTTAGAGGACACACATAGATGATGCATTGCTTATGTGAAATGATTAGGGCCAAAGAAGCGGAACATAGTGGCAAGTAGAGGCAATCTCTCAGGGTCAACCAGGTGGAAAGCGAATTAAAATGGGCCTATGGAACATAGAGGTTAGAAAGCATGGCAAACCCTGGGAAAGGGGTCTTTTCACTTTTCACATCAGCCTAAAATGCACTCTGTATTCAGAATAGACGCAGTGGAGAACACATTTGGACACACTTGATAGCCTCTTGTGAACCTAACAAACGGGTTCAGTACTAAGGAGAATTCATGCTGTAAGGGAAAATGCAATAATATGTTAAAGAACAAAATGATTTGTTTTTGTCTCTTAATATTGTCAGTACAAAAACAACAGCTGGTATTGCTAATTTTATTTTAGCAGGATGGAAATGCAAAATCTGACTTCTATTAAATACTGGATGTTTCCTCTACAATATATAAATTTATTTAAAAAATAAGAATCATAATATAATGAAAAAAAATCTTTACATCTTGAGTTTTTTTTATAAAAACTGTCAAGTTCTATAGTTGTCAGGTGGAATTAAAATGGCGAGATCTTTTGAAAGTTTTAACCATTAAAAGTCTGAAAATTGTACATGTATTAGTTTCATTGTAAATGCAACTGTTCTGTAAAGGCTGCAGAGGTCTGTTAGATGACATTAATGGACAAACACCATCACCAGGGCTAATCGTTACCCACATGAAGCATTGGTGTTGAGGTATACAGTACGTACGAATGGTTTCTTTCTCAGGGACAGGGAAAGATGTAGACATTGGTTGAAGTCAAAAGCAAACCAATCGTACAAGAAGTCCTGTTAGAGGCTGGAAAAGGCTTTGTGAAGGTTTGCTGTCCACCTGTATTTCATCTCAACAAACACAAACATTACAGAAAGAGCAAGAATGGAAGTTAAAGCCATGCAGCCGGGAAATGCAACACCAATATAAACCACAGTCAGATGTGTGACGCAGATTGCTTTTGAAAGGTTCACAACTTTGTGCAGAGTGAGAAGTTACTAACCCCCAACTTCATGAATCCATCAGATAATCTCAAGAAAAAAAGTACTTAGATTGTTTAAGGAATAAGGCTCTGCCCCTTAGATCAAATGAAAGGAACTGATTAAACCTTAAACAAACAAAAGCTTTTTAAAAAATATCATTCATCCACTTTTGTGGCAAACGCTTTAGGTGGCTTATTCCTGTTCCATTATGGCTCCACATCTGTGCACAAATAAAGTCAGGGTGGTCTGGAATGCAGAAGTTCATCCTACAACTGGATTCACCGGTTTGAACCGCAGCTCTGTCTTTTTCATTATTCATGGAATGCTGATGGTCAAAGAGCCCATCTTTATACAATATAGCTTGTCACTGTTGGGATCTGGAGGTCTGTCCACTTTCTCCACCAGAGAGCGTACGAGATCTCCTGGAGCCGGAGCTGATCCCACCACCTGTCTCTCATCTGCTCATCAGGAGATCCGTATTTAAAGAGACGGAGGGCTTCTCTCCAGTGCCAGAGTGTTTGCCAGTAACGGTTAGCAAGCCTGAGCCAACCAGCCTGTCTGAAACTCTGACTCCTTGAGAACCTGAACCTGATCTGTTTTCTCCTCTCTGCTTCCTAGACTGAACCTGCCTGAAACC